GAAATGCACAACATTAATTACTTTCTTTTCCCACAAGAACGAATTGAAAAGAAACACACAAAGAAGTACGAAAATTACAGAAAGCCGTTTCAATCAGCAAATCTCTGCCCCCTTAGAGCATTGCCAGCTGCTGTATGTTAATCGGATAAGCAAACGACTTAGACTTCGAACTATACGCTTTCTTGGCAAGCAAGATATTAGCCGTCTCAGTAGGGTGAAAAGCATCCCAGAAAACATACACACGTCGATCATCGCACGGCATCTGAAGCGGAAGGCACGTGATTTGCCCGTTGTTCCTCCCCACACCACAACACCCTTTATCCACCACTTGAAAACCGTAACTTTTCGCGTTCTGAACCAAATCCTTACTACTCTCGAACGAGTCCAAATACACAAACTTTGCCCCACCCTTATTAAACCGGTCCACAATCCTCTTTAGGCCGGTATTAAAAAGGCTTATGGCATTGTTAATATCCTCGTTACACCGACTCCCGTTTCCTTCGTATCGTGCCAGCTGGTACGGTATGCACCCGATTTGCCCGACTCCAGCCACGATCACTTTCCGAGCCCCCAGATTGTATAATGTCTATATATATATGTGTATGTGTGTGTGTGAGGCATAAAATCTTGAAACTATAATTAATACGTAAGCTAATTTTCGATAAATAATAGGAAGGTTAAATTGCATTTTTAGTCCTGTCTATTTAATGTCACAGCAATTTTAGTCCTGAGATTCTAACATTTTGCGATTTACTCCTGTGATTTAATATTTTACTGCATTTTCAGTCAATTCCAAATTCATATCTTGGGGATGGGTTTTTTATTAGCAATTTATGTCTTGTAATTTAAACTCAAATTGCAGCACAATATTAAATTACAGAACCAAAAGACGAAAAGTCAGAACCTTGAGAGTAAAATTGCTACGGCGTTAAACCAAAATGACTAAAAATGCATTTTTGCTTAATAGGTACCGTCAATTGTTTGGTGTAGTCTTGGATGAGAGAAGCAGCATAAGCTTTAGGTGTGTACTGAGAGCTTGTGGAGTAGTAATCTGTCATGAAGTAATTGTTTAGATAGTCATTGCTCCCCAAGCCCGCGTAAAATATACATTTGCTTAGGTAGGCTCCGAGCGTGACATCATCTCCTCTGAAAAACCTTCTCAGCTGCTGCACGGTCGCTGCGAAGCTGTCGACTTGCTGGTTCATCGACATGTGGTCCCCCTGATCACCCGAGTAAAAAAAATGTCATTTTTATTAACCCGACACGTGTAAGAAGTTAAAAAAGTTAAAAAAAATAAGTATGTATCTATGTATGAATGTACCAAATTGTTTCCTGTTTCATCTCTGATTCCAGAAGCTCCGGACGCGTAGTTCGCTCCTTGAAGTAACTGGCGGCCGCGGGCCCTGGCGTAAGGCGGAATGTAGTTCGGGAAGCCCAATAGTTGTGCTGGAATTTAAATAAATAAATAAATAAAGTTACGCGCGAAGATAGTTTAACGAAAATGTTACTAGATAGAATTTTAATAGGAGGAACCTAAAATGTCGACAAAAGTGCGGCCATTGGTGAAACGTCCTGTGGTCCCCTGCGGAAAATCTATGCCGTAAGGCATGTAGTTTGCACGAGCTAGCGTGAGGATTCCGTTATTGTTGCCATTGTCGACTAAAGAGTCGCCGAATATGTAAAAGCACGGGACTTGTGGTGGGGCTCGGTTATTGGGTTGTGGGTAGGCTTTTTGCGCCATCAAGCAGCATGAAGTGAAAACGAGCAACACGGAGAATTTGCTAGAAATCGACATTGCAAGCCTTTCCTATTCGATGTGAATTGAGTGTGAGTATATTTGTTTGTTTAGCATGATTGATTGGTTGTGTTAGTGTGAGGAGAGTTTTATAGTGTGTGTGCTTCTTTTTGGTTACTTTATGTGATGAAATTTAAAGGACAGTCCGTGAAAAGGAAAAATTTTGAAAGTGTTTAGTTGGATGGTGTTAAGTTTTTGTAGCTGTTCTTCACGAATTTTGGATGCCAAAACAGCGGTGGCAAGAGGTGTTATCTCGTGACAATTTTCCCATAAGTCATACAGGACATAAGTGCATGCAGATGCATTTATTGATTTTATTTTTTCGTGACCTGATCTTTTGGCCAATTCATCTTTGGATACAATGTTTAGGTAAATATGTAAAGTTTTTTGGCTTGCTCCGTAGAATTTATGTACAACTACAATTATCTATGGGTACATTAAAATGTGTCCACCAGTCACATGTCAAGATTTCATTATCTTTGAATATCATATGAATTGTATGCTAATCTTCTGCCACATCAGTACAACTACAGCTACCCACCGTGGGCACATTAAAATGTATCCACCAGTCACATGTGAAGATTTCATGATCTTTGAACATCATATGAATGGTATGCTAATCTTCTGCCACATCAATCCTGGTGAACGTATAGTTACTTTTCATTGGCTTACTCTAAGATTAAAAAGATACACTTTTCACTTTGCAACGAGAAACTAAATATCATGAGATTATTAATGACTTTGACTTCTCTTCACTACTCAAAGCACAAGAAGACACTTTTGTAACACAAAATAAATGTCATAAGATTCTATTTATCTCTCAGTATATTCATGTGCGTTTAATTCTCGGATATGTTGAGACTAAATGGCAGACTCGCATATTTTGAGATCCTATGAGGCAAATTTCCATACATTGTGGGCTTGAATGAATTTAAATTATCACTCTCAATCAAAAAATAATTTGGTTTGGAATAGTCCTAAATATACTTAGATATTTATGGTCCTTTTTAATAGCATAATTATGTTACATTTTTTATTCTAGATGTAATTTATAAGGCATAATTTTTTTTGCCCGATCTTCCTTTTTTTCCTCATCTTTCTTTTAAAATTATGAAAAAATTACTAGCTTAAATTATAAGTAGATATAAAAGTTCATAAATTTTTTATTTTTTATTAATTTTTATATCGAGTTAATCATGTCTTGATGACCTTCGAATTTGACACCTATATTGTAAATACAGAATAAATAAATAATTATATTTATCTTTATAATAAAAGTTAAATTACCCATTAACATTAATTAAAAAATTAAAATTATTTAAATCAATTTAACTACAAGTTGTTAAAGGATATAATTTAAAAAATTATAATAATATATGAGTGTTATTTTAAAAATAAATAGTAGTATAGTTATTTAAAAAAGTATTTGAAAATTCAAATATTTTTTTATTAATATTTTTAATTATAAATATAAATTTATTAACAAACACTCATGTAATACATGGGTATTGTACTAGTATATAATTGTAGCCAAAGTTTTTAATAAAATTATTGTGGTTTTTCCTCCATTTTTTATTACAAATATATTTCATTAATATTTTTTTCCTTTCACATTAATCCACCCTATTAGTAACGTTTTCCACCTAATTTTTAACCACTTATAGTAGAAAACCGTTACAATTATTTAATTAAATGTAAGTATATATTTTTTATTATTATATTATATTATAGTTAATATTAATACCACCTAATAATAATTCACACTAAATATTATATTAATATATATAACATGTGTATCGAAATTTCTATTACTATTTTTTTCTTCAAGCTCTTTATTCTAAAATCAATATTATTTTCATTTTTTTAATATCTCACGGAATGATTTTCTTTTTTTAAAAAAAATAAAAAATAGCTAATTAGTTTTAATAGTATAGTCAAACCACCTTAAAATCTTAGAGAGATTCTACAGTCCGTTACGGAATCATTCCGTCGGGGTTGGTAACCGTAGATCAACTATCCACGACAGTTACATGATGATATAACGGTTACAAATTCCGACGGAATGGTTCCATAACGGGATTGTAGCATTTCCCAAAATCTTATAAACAACAAGTACAATAATTTTTTCAACTAAATTAATTGGCCATCATCCCTCAAAATCATAAATATTACATTATCCACAATCTTTTTTCAATCAATATAATGATTCATATATACTTAAATTATTTATATTTATATTGTTTTACTTTTGGTAATGATCAAATTTTGAAAATGTGATATGTTTATTATCTAATTTATAATTTTAATATTATATTCACACGGATAACTTATAATATTTTATTTAGCATGTCACAATATTATTACTTAAGAGTAATATTAATATCCTTGTATCAAAAGATTAAATAAATCTATACAACATAACGAAAATACCTTTATAAAAAATCCGCCGTTAATTAACTACATGTGAAACTTTTTATCTCCCAAAGACAAACATTCCAAGAATCGAAGCTCGGAGTCCTTGACTAATACTGGGATCAAAGAATGCAAGTGATTTTCAGCAATTGGTTGCGCAAGAATATCGTGCAAAATTACACCAGAAACTCAAAATCGACTATAAAAACTTCTCAAGACGATAATCTGGAGGTTGCACAACGAAAATCAGCAACTAGCAAAACAATCGACAAATGGGCGACAAAGTATTTATCCATCATTTATCTACATGAAAGGTATATTGATTCCTACACTGCTACTGCAAAAAAGGACGACAGATATAGGCCAACGGGAGACTTAATTAAGTGTGAAAGAAAAATAATTGACAGTAATATGAAATGCAAGAATCAATTGTCAAAATTACCCGACTATTCTAGAATCTATAACCAGAGCCGGAAGATGGAGGAGCAGGTGGCAAACGATTAGGTGTTCGGCGGCTGCCGGAGTTTGAGACTGCTGAGCTTACATCACCATTCTGTGCAGGGTCACTATAACGCCGGCCATGACTGCCGGATCTTGGGGAATCAGTTGGACCATTAGCGGCAGCATCAAATGCCGATCTCCAGTCACTCCCTGAAGATGAACCAGTGGCTGTTGGGCTACTCTCTGTNTTTTTTTTTTTTTAAGAAAAAAACAAAGGTCACACGAGATAATTGAGGAAAAAAATAGAATTTAAATAAATGAACAATATAATATTACCTGCTCCACCACCTTCTAAAAAACCGGAGGCAGCAGCTGCAGCCCTATTGTCATGAATGCTTAACTGCCGAATAATTTTGGAAAGAAGGGAGGATTGTTTCTGATAGCGTTCTCTCCTGCTTTTCACGTTATGGTCCTCCTGGATCAGCTCCTCAATTCTTGCCATGCTTATGGAACTGCGAATTCCAAATTAAAAGTTGAAAAGTGACAATATTACATATGAATTCGGAATCATATTATGTGTTTGCATGGCGAGACATGAAAACGAAACCAACCTCACAGAAATATACAACTTGTTAAGCATGTCTTCTTTTGCCTTCTCAACTTGACAAAGAACAACTGCCTGCAATAACAGAACGCGTCGTTAAGTGATAAAGATGGCTTCAGATGAACCAAGTGAAAAGACGCTGGCTTCTGCTGAAACCTGACCTTTGGGACATTGGCGGCAAGACTGTTGAGAACAGCTTCAACATAACCGCGCACTTCCTGAGCTATCCACCGGAGTTCTTCCTCAGGATCAGCAGGTTTTCTTGACATGGTATCCTAAAACGGGCAACCAAAAAAATTTAAAAGCACATAATCGGAAGAATAAACTTGAAAGGGCAACATATGCTCATCGGGAGTTTAAACAAGAAATGAAGTTCATTAGATACTTACAAGATAACCATCAGAATGACTCTGTCGCATTGGAGAATCAAATTGAGTCTTCACTTGACCGCCTTTGGAGCTGATTACGTTTCTTAACTTGTTCAACCACTCGGCCTTCTCTGCCGCACTTTCAGCCTTAAAGACAACAGCACTTTGGGCTGCAGGTGGCAGTAATATTTAATTCCTGTCTAAATTTAAAATGAGAATAACTTTCTACAATTATTTTTCATGAAGTACCTTTGAGAACTGTCTTATATTGAACCCTGCTTGTTAACTTGAACAAAAGACTGGGTGGTTTTTCCACATCTGGACTGTTTCCCTTTTTGTCTTTGGAACTCTTTGAAGGAGCTGCTTCCTCCTCTGAAACTTCTTCCAGGTTACATTCCTGATAATCTCAACCGGAGATTGANGGAAAGAAAGGAAAAGATGAGACAGAAAATCGGGTGTATAAATTCCAGTAGGTAATATTGTATTAGAATTTGAATGTTAGCATGTTTAAAAATTAAAAGTATCAAAAACCATGGACCATGTAACAAATTGGGTTAGAAGACCCTATCGGCCAGCCAAACAACAGACAAAGTAGAGCAGGTGCTTCTGCACCTTCTTCCTAATGGTGAAATGTTCTTGCTAACTGTGAGATACCAATTAAGTTAACCACACAGAAGTATCTTCATCTGTACAATTTCATAACTCCATTTTCATCCAGATAAGTTGGGTTAAATTAAGATTGAGAGCACACCGAAGTTCTGGCTTGGCTTAATAATAAACATACGCATTAACAGAAATTGCTGTATGGCAACTAAGCAACAAATGTTGATGCCCTCCTATTTCTTCAAAAACATTACTTGTCGTCTGGATATGCAGAAATGATTCAAAGGACCAGTTTGATAGACAATAAGGAGCTATATCAAATTAACTCGATACCCATAAAGATCATTTTGCTATATTTTAACAACTTGGAGAGCATAAGATAGAATCATGGACCCTACACTTGGCGAAAAGACATTCTGTTCCAACTAAAAGGTCCATAATACGCAGTGAGAATGATGCAGCTTCCATTTCTGGAGCATAAACACCGCCCACAGTTGCACTTCCCGATTCTCAAATTAAAACAGTATTAAGCTCAATTAATTACTCACACCACTCAGCTCTATAATTAGATAGCATTGATATTACTGCTTAGACTCCTACGGATATACAGAGATCTAAACATGTCTCAAAAACCATAAATAGCCATTTGAAGGCCAATTACTTTGTGGAATATACTCAGTGTTTACCTCCAATGTGATAACACCACGAAAATGTCGCTCTTCTTGCTTCTTGGTGTATCCAAGCTGCAGAAAGATTAAAAAATTGGGCGAGTCGGTAAAAACTATATCCAGGCACAAGAAGAACCTCTACCTTTAACCTAAGTTGAGAAATTTGCATCAGTAAGAATCGTTTAATAGCACAAATGTCGTAAAATCGTCAATCAACACACATAGAAAGAACTTATTGTCTATATACATATAGTTTGGACAATGGCAAGAACTTTCAACTTAGAAATGAGTGAGATTATATGAGCAAATGCCCAAGCCTTTACTTTGAGCCAGAACGTGGATACGGACATGGATAAACTTCTGGAAAAAATGTCAAGTTTATCTAAAGAAAAATATCATGGAAAAGCTGGACTTGTTCCAACAACTTCAAAAAGCTCGAGTAACTCACTTTTCCTGTTTTTTCATTTAAAACAAACCATCTTTTACTCCACCCATTAGTTTTAGCACTTTTCTTCAATAGGAAACCTGCAGAAGAGACAAGTAGCTTGAGCTTCAAACCAGAATATAAAAGCATACACCTGAAAGAAAGTAAATTAAGCATGTATCCCTCAAAAATAAAATCGTCAGCCAACAGCAGAAATCAATGAACGAGTTTACAATAATCAAAATTCAAAATACAAATGAGGATAAAATATTTTAACATACATCATACAGAAGAAGGATTAGACATTTGGACATTCTTGAAAGAGTCATTACGAGATACAACACTCACATTTAATAATTATATAGAATTCAATCAGCAGCTTTCTGTTATGAGACTCCAAAAACTATTCATTTTACTTTCTCTAACACTTCCCCAGAAACAAAAATATCCAAACCTACCCCCACATAGTTTATACAAAGATGTCAAGAGAACTAATATGACTGGTGAGAATAACTGTGCTTTTAAAGATTGAGTACAAAATCGTGAGCAGTAGAATTGCATAATCATTCTTTAATTAAACATATTAAAAAATAGTTTCACAAAAAGAGAAAGGTATAACGGAGAATAAAATCCACAACTGAATTAGCTGTTTGCAAGAACCTGCTGTTATTTCCCCTTCCGGCCCAGCAGTCTTCAAGACTGGTCCTTCTTGTACATCTTTTTCTTTATCTTGTTGACTGGATTTGTTGTCCTTCATTGACTTTAAGCTCCCCTCCCCTGGTTGGCCTCCAGTTTGGGGACTAGTTGCCTGAATGAAGCACTCATTCTAATTAGATCAAACAAATTTCAGAAAATAATATTTTGATATTTTTCATATTCCACAATAAGATGAGATCAATCTCGACAAACCATGTGTTCTCAGTAACCAATATTTATGTGAGTGTGTATGTGCATGTGTTAGTGCCTTTGTGTTACCCTATTTAGTATGGATTGTTCAGCATCAACAGCCTTTTTGGAAGATCGACCTTTCAGTTCATCTTCACGTCGTAGTCTATCCATCCTGGAGAAACCGTCAAACACATGATTACAACATCTTAAATGCATCAAAAAGGAGATCCACACAACCTCCGTCACATCAAACATAAATAATATTTGAAAATAATAGGCTATTCTTCCAGTTTTTCAAATAATAATTATCAAATCAATCTTAAAAGTAGGAAACTATGAAAAAGTTAACCAGGTATTGAACATACCGCCTCTGCACCAGACGGACAAAATGTTGGGCAGGAACATATGCCCGTTCCATATCAACAAGTGCGACTACCATGTTCTTCGCATTGTTCTTGTAATCTTCCAGAGCGGTTGAGGCAATAGTTACAACCTGTATACACAGCAGAAATTTTACTCTGGTAATCAAAACGAATTAACAAATGCATATGTATTGATTGATGGAATCTAAAGCTCCACCATGTGTACCTCTCTCTTAAAAGGAGGATATCTTCCAAGGCCAGGGGTAGCATTTGCAGCAGCTGCAACAATATCAACAAGTACTCGGTGCACCTATGAAGTTTTTTGAAGATATTATTACCCTAGCATATTTTCCACAAAGTTACACAGCATAAACATGCAGGATGATGAATTATACAAAGTATATAGATATGTGTGATAGAGGTGGTAACGAGTGAAATAAACAATATCAGACTGTACGGGAACAGGAACACATGATAGGAGTCCCTTCCTATGGCATATCGGAAATTCAATTTCGAATTCTTTTATCAGATTTGTAATTTTTTTCAATGCTAATGCATGAGTTTCTAAATGAAGTGTTCAACAAAAAAATTCCCTAGTCCAAACTAGTGGTATGTGATCTTTAATATTAAAAGCAAACCAAATAAAACCACACTTTCATCTTGTGAATATAATTTATGAGAGGGAAAAAAACATCAGATAAAGAGACTGTCATAAACACATACCAAAACCAACAAAAAAAGAAAGGGAAAAGGGGAAGAAAGGAAATTAGTGGTTTACCTCATCAACACAAAGTCGTGAAGGTTCTTTAGCAAGCTCCAAAACTCCTTTAATTAAAGACCGCAATCCTTTCTCTGGAGAGATAAGATAAGGTTGATAACCATCTGCTTCGAGCACAATCTGAAATAAGTTAAACCATCAACACAAACTTACACATTGTAATCATTACCATAGATATTACTCAGAATTCATGAAAGCATTAGTGCTATGGTGGAGAATGCATACCCTCTTTACATTTTTCATATCGAAATGTCTATCTAAAGGTAGTTGCTTGATTCTATTGGGGAAATTGCCTTCAAAAGTAGAAACAACTTTCCATCCACCACCCTGCGATATATAGTATTTTTAGGTTAACATAACACAAACGCTTAAATCCTGACACGTGATCAGAAGGAGCTGGTTTGAACAGTGATCAGAGAGGTTGACTTGATTTCAATGGCCAGTCGGCCATTGACCCAGATACTGACACATCTTGCACATATAAACTTATATATTAGGGATGTAAATGTGACATTCACAAATAAATAAATACCAGAGATACGTGTAAATAGTATAATATATGAAGATTGTGGTAACAGAGTTGACAAGAATTGATAACAGGAGCCAGGAGGTAAGATCATAAGAAACCAGTGCATATGAATGAGAGTGCATAATGTCCAAACATCCGTATTTACCAAATAAAGTGATGTCTGCGCAATGTATTTCCTAAATGTAACAAAATATAGCTTATTTCTTTCTCACCTCCTATTTACTAAATGTAACAAAATAAAGCTTACTTCTTTCTCACCTCTCCAGTTGTGATATGCTGGAGGAATTTGTCTTCAAACTCGCGGCAGAGTTCCAGCGCTAGAGCTCGTGTACCTTCAGCACTACTAACCATCTGTTCACCAAGTCTGACTAGTTCATCCTGTACAACTTGGGACTTACTCTGAAGTCTGCATAAGTGGAAAATCAATGTCAAGTAAAGGTGCTACTGATTAAACGAACTAATGAAGAAAGCACCACGAAAACAAGCATGAGGCATCTAACCAGAACTAGTACAACAACTTTTTCCGCTACAGATTGAACCTACAGAATTAGAAAAATCACACAATGCCAGCATATCTAAGGACAATGACTTCTCCATGGAGATTAATATATTTTCATTGATCCTAGTATTATGTTAACTTACCAAAAAAAAAAGGAAACAGAAAAAAAAAATGAAATAAAACATTTTGTTAACTTACAGTACACTAGTATTATGTGCGTTCGAGATATGAGATATCGATTTCCAGGTTACCGCAAATCAATTCCTATATGCCATCATGGGCAGGGATAACAGGGCGTACTAAATAAGTAAACCAATATTTTAAGGAAAAAGGTTACCGAAAATGCTATTTTAGTAAATGGTTAACTGGAGAAATCACTTCAAATTAGAGGAGCACAACCAGAAAACCAAAAGACGAGAAGCTTGACAACAGAGCATACCCAGAGAGAAGATTTGGAAGTCTAACTTTCATACGGTTTCGGATCTGTTGGGCCAAGGTCTCTACCAAGGCTAATCGCCCAAGCTTACTTTGTGGAGCACCTGTCAGGATAGATTTCAAACTTTCACTTTCCGCTCGCCAAGCAGCTTCTAACGAATTATCAGCACCAACAGACCCTGATTGAGCAGATGCTATAGAGACAGATTGGCCAATCAAGGCAACCCATGGGATGTCAGCTGTACTTCGGGGTCCTTGATTTAACAACAGAGCCTGCACTGCAGCAAGGACTTTTGGTTCCGATGAAACTTGATCTATCTTGCTAATAATTCCAACGGTTCTTGTACCTACCAATAAAAACAATGAATTAATCACAGATATAGATAATATATCTAATCTAACAACAGAAAGTCCGCAGGACATCCAACCACCCAAAAAAATTGGATTAATAAATCAAAATAGAAACACATATCACACTCACACTCCCCATCAAGCTCCTTAGCAATCCTGATAGCTTTTGCTGAGGCCACTTCCGGGGCCTGGGATGCAGGTATTACAACTAATAATATCGCGTCACTGTGTTCAGCATATTGACTCTGTAAGAAAGAGAAAGGCTGTCAAACAGCTGAAAATCAAATCTTAGAAGCCCTACTGCATACTGAAACTTTATGTTCAGTCCACATGGCACAAATTCTATAGCAAGCTTCGGGAGCACACACATCATTTAACTACTCAAACTAGTTTGGTGGCATTCTATATATATATAATATCAGTTTAACATATCAAGAGCATCGATATACATACTAAAACAGTTTATCAGGAGCATGATAACAGCTTTTGAAGACAATGAGCGAAAGAATTCGAATGATCTCGTAAGAAAACAGAAGGCACGACTAGACCAAGTTCGCTTGCTTCTGGAAGACTTCTTCTCACTTCAGCAATATTCAAAAATATGAAATCATGTTGCTTAATCCAACTCTCTCTAGAATAGAAATTCCCATGTATCCAAATAATAGAGTTTAAAAACCAATGGATGAAGACCAAATATGAAATGTGGGGTGCGCACCATCATTCATTTCTAAAATCTTCAGAAACATTACAACTCCAACTTAAAATCAATCATGATCAGGTCAACCTTCAAAATTCTCTCACACAAAACCAATACAACCTTTGAAACCTTGCATAAGATAATCAAATTCAAACCTGAAGTTCTGTGCTTAAACTAATATTTAATATATATAATCCTGAATTCCTTAATTTTGTTCAGATTCCACTTACCAGTGAATCATCGAGATTCCCCTTATCGGCCCCAGGCAAATCAATTAGTTTCAACGGTGGAGCTGCATAACAAGAGAAAACATGTTAGATGATGAATATATTGATCAGAAAGCAAACAGTTTGTTTATCATTTTGTGAACCTGAACGTTTACAACTAGGATAATGTGAGAAATACCATCAATGAGGTGAAAGTGGGGTGAAAACAATTAATATGACCTTAAAATTACCCAAAAATTGTAATATTGAACAAGTTCTGCACCAATTTTTGTAGTGCAAGTAAGACAAGATAAAAGCAAATCTGTCCTGGATTAAAAATCTGATGAACAGTTCTACACTTGGTGAAGCAGTGAAGATGCCTTGGTGCTAACAGAAAGGTTATACAGATTTTCTTTCTACTCAATGACCAACACTTTATCTAGGATTTTCAAACTACTCTGCGCTCAACATAAGCATATACAGGGTCCATATGGCAATTATCAAACAGGTGGAACACACAACTTTTCAAAATAAGCACACCTGTACTTGTTCGGAGCTTCAAATTTATTTCATCTCGACTCTTGCCAGAACTTTTGCTCAGTCTGTCCTGTAATGAATGCCGAAGAGCACCTAAAGTAGACAGAAAGATAATTTAAAAAAAAAAAAAAACCGAAGAAGAAGAAGAAGGGTCAAATCCTCAGACAACAAATTAACATCAAAAGTTCTGTTAGAAGCCTCACTTGCAGAAACTTGTTGAGATTTACTATCAATCTGCAAAATAATGGATTTGCTACTTAGAGAGCTGTCCTTTGTTAAGTCAACAACGATTGGAGCACGTGTGGCACCACCTTCACCAGTTGGCTGTAAAATTACGCGACAAACACTTGATGATATATTTGCGGAAAATGAATAACAAATCATTCAACAAAAGCCAGACAAGCTCTCATCCTTACCAATACTGGATGTCCTATTAGGCTGTTCAATACAGCAGACTTGCCTGCACCCTGGATAGATATTTCCCAGTGAGACGTTATTTTCAATTGCATAACAAGGTAAAATGAACAATGTAAAAAATTCAAAAAAAATAAAATAAAATAAATACACCTGTGCATTATTCCTTAATACACATCTAAATAGGTTGCTTATCTAAGTCGAAATTCTTATTATGCATTGACACTCACTATAAACCTAGTAGATATACCATCTGCTAAAAGCAAAAGACCATGAATCACTGCTTGCAACAAAAAAATAAAAATCATAATTGAGGAAAGACCCCACAACAGCAAACATGTCCCATTCCCAGTTCCCCAAATTCACAACTGAAGCAAGATCCAAAAGATAAGGTTTCTTATGGAGAAAACAGGGGCAAACCAATTATATTACAAACCTCTTGGTCTTCACTAACATTTTTTACCTCACCTGTCTAGGAAGCACCATATTTTATTAATGCAAATGTTTAAACAGGCCTTCTCAATAAATTAGACTACCATTCATTTGATATTATTGTTTATCATGCAAACCAGTTAAAACTGCACACTATTAGATTCAGTAAAAAAATTGTCAACTAAATGAGACGAGTTAATTTTACCATGACTTCAATAACCAGGTGCACTCATCAGTTCATATCCATAAGTACATTAGAAAAGCATCTTATAGTTCTTCAAATTATCTGAATGATCAAATTAATTGAATTTGAACAAGCAACTTAAGCTGTAGGAGAAAATACATATTGAGAAAAATAAGAGATGGTTTATTAATAAAATGAACTGATAAATGTAATATATATTTAATTTTATATAAAGCATCAATTAAGAAAGTAAACATTTCAGGTTATAAAAACTAAACATCAATTATGAAGCCAGACAAAATGAATGGCCTGACTTATTATAGTATGAAATAGTATGATAAAACAGAAAATTGGGCATTACCTGTGATGCGTCACTGGTCAAGAGATTATAATTGCAGGAATCCTAAGCCCTTCTTGAAACTAAGGACCAAAGGCTTGATATTTGATCATTGCTTTAAGGAAATATTTATGTAGAACAATTCAAATCTTGAGCCAAATTATACAATTTTGTAATCGTGGAGCCCATGGTCAATAAAATTAAAAGAACTGAATGCACAAAGAAGAAAGGTCGAAGAAAAATGGGGCATATAGTACAAAAATATCAGGCCTCTTAGAAAAACATTATGCAGATGACACAACCGCGCCATCTCCCCTGCAATAGGTCAACCTAATTAGGAATAGAACACAATGTTTACTCAATGATTAAGATTGAATCGACCTGCAACATCAGCTACTCTACAGGCACAATATAACCCACAGTGAGACAATCCCATGCTGAGAGACTATCTCCCCTAAAATTGTACTTCATCTTAGAGCTTATACCATCCCAACGACAAATTTCAATTCTAAAAATGAGTCACACAGAGACCACTGTATTCTGCTAAGAAGCTTGCTATAACCTAATTTTAACATAAAAACCCATTTCCTCAACCACGTAACTGATAACTATGCAATCCACAGTATCTCGTCTTTCCTTGAGCAAAATGGGTTCTGCATTATGACAACCAAAATCACAACAAATACAATTTAAAATTTTGGAAAATAAACACCACAGATTCACTACAGCTCACAAGTGATAGATTAAAATCCAAGTTCCTAAAGAGACCCCGCTCTAGGATCTGCCTTAACGTTCAAGTACTCCACACAAGAAGAAAAATTATATATATAATCACGAGAACAAGCTAAAAAAAAGTCTTGAGCAATCAATCACTCACAATGTTGCCGAGAGCAACAGCATTGAGGAAAGTGGAAGCGCGCCTGGATGGAGCGGACTCGTCTACATCTTCGTCAGCGAGCAGCGCCGACGCCTGCCGCATGGCATTGGACAGCTCCGACAATTCCTCGATCGCCTCCATGGATTCCGATCAATCTCCGTCGCTAGACCCAACGCTGCAGATTCAATTATTTCAAGGCGTCGCTTGGCCAGCCCGAATCCAAACAGCAATAACCGCGGATCAAACTGAGATCAAAGCGCGTGGCGTGAACTGAATCTATATTGCGCTCGATCAGAATCTGAAAATCTCAGGGTTGGTTTGGGATGCTTTGAGATGGTTCAAAGGCAAAAATGGAAGATTGAGAAATGTTGAGAGACGCAGAAAGTGTTGAGAGGTTGATGGGATGGAATTTTGAAGCGTGATGCTCTCTGCGTGCAGTGATCGAATAGGCATATCTTAACAAGGAAAAAGATGTCCTTAATTGTAAAAATTATTTCTAATTTAGATATGGTTCCGGGCCGGATCGGCCCAGAACTGCCCGGTCAAGCCCATGGACCGCTGGTCAGGAATCGGCCCTTGTTTTATCCGGGCCGGTTCAGGCTCACAAAATAATTATTTTTTGAAACATCGGTTCTGTTGAGAGTCGGCCCGGAGGCCCGGAAGTTTTTTTAATATATTTTTTTTAAAATTTCATTTTTATAAAATCCAATTTCTAATTGGGTTGGGCCCAGTACCGAAACGACCGTTAGATCAAATCTGGACCATTGGATTGTTTTGATCGTTGGAGATTCGACGGTCCATTTTTTTTGTAAACGATTATGGACGTGCCGATTTTAATCCAGAACATCCAATAGTCAGAATTTTGAAATTGACCGTCGAGATCCAAATGAATCTATTTACACAGTTTGAGACATCGGGTCGGCTCGAAACTTGCGGTTCAGTANATATTTTTGCTATATTGTGTCGGGGATCTCGTGAAGCCACTCGGGCGAGAATTCAAAAGTGCCTGGAGAAGGTCAGTTGAAGAAGTATTTAGTTTTTCAGGTCGTAACATTGGAAGGGTAGTGATTAAAGAAGTTAGCAACGTTACGTCTAGAGAAGTAGTAAGAAACTTTCTAGGTTTATCTAGAAACAGTAAAAGTATAAGTGGACGTCTAACCTACCAAACTGGCATCGGCTAAGCATGGTGAACTCGACCAAAGTATGGATCGAATTCGGGTTAAAGTGATTTAAGGGAAGGCGGCTGAACTCGATTAGGTCTCATCCCTCAGGGAAAATTTTAACCCGAAGGTAATCTGGTCTAAGAAGAAATGATAATAACCTAAGGGGGCTCAAAAAAGGGCTCCCCGACCTTAGGAACTTTGAAGTACCAATCTCAGGGGAGCTTCATCTCATGGAGCAGGTTAGAGATGTGGTTGTTAGAGTAAAAGGTGATAGGGTTGGGTTTGACAACTCTCACCAGATCGGTTAGAACCTCGGCTTTTTGTCTTTGACCACGGTGACTTGGTCTTGTTGCGGCTAGAAAGAGGAAGGGCCAAACCCAAGGGGATGTCCCTAGGGGGCTCGTCTAAGTGTTGAGAAGATGAGGTTGAAGAAAAGGTGTTGTTGAAGTTCAAAATAACCACCAAGATTGCTTAGGAAAGGGGTAGAAATGGGGAAGATGATGACCGAAAATCCAAAAAACCAAATCAAAGTTGAAAATAAGAGAAAGTTCAGAAAGTGTACAAACCCATGAAAGCCAAGAAAAAGTGATGAGAGTTGAATCAACCGGAGGTTGGCTTTAAAATCACCGAAATGTTGCTAGGATCGTTGGAGTAATTTTGCAAAGGTAGATTAAAACCCCTAAAGTGGGTGAAAAAAAACGACAGTTTGCGTAGCTTCTATAGCTTAAAGGAGAATTGCAGAAGTCGAGAGAATGCAGGTGAACTGCTGGATCAAAAGTCGTCTGGATTAACCAGGGATGACGGTTTGACGGATGTCAAAAAGCGGCAGATCGCAAGCGTTAATTTTGAAGAGGATCCATGGTGCAAAGCAAAATAAGCGTGCCAGGGATTCTGAAGAGATGTTTTTTACAGGCACAATTACCTACATCGCTCATTTTTCATCATTAAAGACTGACATGACAACTGGGTGCAATGAAACATTCTTGCACAAGTAAAGTAGCTCGTTCAAGAATGAGGGGGCTAGATGATATAGCACCCACAATAGCCTAGTGGCATGGCCAAGGTGGTTAGCTAGGTTGTGGTCGGTTCAAAGAGGCTCAATCTGTATTCAGCACACAATCCTGTCAAGGAGCTCACTCAGGTGGCTCAAGTTATAGGTTAGCCTAAGATAAGCAGCTCGGAGGTCGTGAACCTCGAACAACTCGAATAATTGAAGGAACCTCAAGGGTTGGAGGTCGTAGAGAGGGAGGTCGTGGTTACGACCTAGCAACAGACTATGGAAGGTAGACAATGAGGTCGTCTGGGCGACCTAGATTACCTAAGAGTCATAGAGTAAGAGGGGACAAGAATCATTTAAGGAGAGAGTCTATTTTGCTAAGAACTCTCAGATTCTATTGAAGTGATAAATTATAAATGTAGATACAAGAGGATCTCCTTCATAACTAGAATTCTCTTAGGCATCAAAATACCGTAAGTATATAAAGGTGACCAGGTTATTTTGTTTTACATATCTCATAAACGTATACTTGAACACATATATTGCTAGTTTTCTCTCACAAGCAGAGACTAACTTGAGTATCGCAGGTTTTTCGCCAGGACCCTTTAGTGCTAATGGAGGTTTTGACCTACAAACACCTATGATCGGACACAACAAACATGCACAAGGAAGGCCGCTCAACGAACAAAATGGCCACGCAAAGTCGCTTAGACACGGACGAGACCACGCCTCAAACGGATGCGCCATTGGAGGTTTTAGGATGCACATCGACGGAGGAAAACCTGGTGGGGATGGCTAAGGTACTAGGTGGCTCGTGAAAAATGAAAGGTGCGCGAGCCGAGTGCGCAATGCGCGCAACACGCAAACAGGTCGGACGTGCACAGGCAGACGGGGTGCGCGCAAGCACGAGCGCGACCCGTAGATGTCACGCGAGCGGATGGGAAGCGCTAGTGCGGGTCTTCCGAGAGCAGCGCGAGTCTGCGAGCAGGCAGGGTTACTTGGGGGCCAAGTTGAGAATTTCTTCTAGAAGTTCCAAGATTATTTTTCCTCATGCTTTATTATCATTCCTAGATTGTTTAGGAGTGCATTAGTTAAGATATTTTTAGGATTCTAGTTATTTATTTTCCTTAGAATTAGAAGTTAATTTCTCTTAGGACTAGACTTAGTTATTTTCTTTTGATACCCATGCTTGGGACCAAATTTCTTCAGCTTTTGATTAATTAAATTCAGAACTTTTGTTCAACTTCTTGTGTTAGAATTTTCCTTGAGTATTAGTGCAAAACCTATGTGCCGAAAAGGGCGCAGCATCGCATAGTTCAACATAAGTCCGAGTTTGGCAAGGATGCATTATCCAAGCTGTCTACCGTGAGAAGACTAGGAAAACTCCAAGTCGTCCACACTTATCGCCGAGAAGGAAGTCATCCAAGCCACTTTCGATGCAAACCAAGTTATCGGGACACGCGATCTTCATTACTCTCCCTGAAGCTTTGCAGGCTATTGGAGCTCGAAGTCGGCGTCCATTCCTGTTCAATATGGTTCAAGGCAATTTGCACATCAAGTGGATCCCCGATTTGTTATGGTGAGATTGGATATAAATTCATCCAGTAAAAAACCAATCAAAACTCAAATTTAACTCAACTTTAATCCAACCCCATTATCCTCAACTTTATCTATATAATTAAATAATACTCACTAATCATCATTACATAAACACATCAATTTCATTTCACTAATCATCTACTCGCATAAATTTAACTAATCATCACTTAACATCATCTCCCTCTTACTTTAACATCAAATCAATATTAATTATTTTATTTTAAATATTATTTTAATATAAATTGAACTCTCACTAACAACTAACCATATCAAATTTTTCAAAAATAATTATGGTTAACAAAAAAGAAAAAAAAAATAATAAATAAAAAACCAATCAAATTCATAATCCATCACACCCTTAAGACTTTATTGCTTCTTTGCTAGAGTTATAAAGCTTGTATGGTTCGCCAAAAAAAAGGAATAACCTAAATAAGTAAATATTAAAAATTGAGATTACTAAGTACATAAATAAACATATCTATCTACACTAATATAAAAAAGTTGTTGGAAAAATATCTTTATAGTAAGTTTGAATAAAAAAACAAAAGTTTTGACTTACTATTAGTAGTAATTTCGAAAAAAATAAACGTGAACCATTTAAAAATTATATTTAATCATTTTCTTAGACAGTTTAGCTTGATTTTCTTCCCAAATATTTAGGAAACAAATACAAATTAGCCGGGTTTTCTTAGATATGAGACTCATTGGAATCCCATTTTTTCGTAGCCAATTTGGATATTCTTATAATAAAAATGTATCAATTATTTATGGAATCCAATCCATATATAAATTAATTTAAAATCCATGCGATTTCTTTTTATTTTACCAAAATCTAAGTCCCATTTTATTTTATTTTTTTTTCTGTAACAAAATATTGAGATTGGCAACATTTATCTTTTCAATCTTTAGGAAACAAAACTAATTTAAATTCATTTATAAAATGTGAATGCCATTTTTTATAAAAAAATAAAAATGAGATTGACCGATTTCGCTGGATTTTCTTTCCAACTATTTAGGAAACAAATACAAATTGACCGGATTTTCTTAAATATGAGACCCATAGGAATCCCATATATATATTTTTAGTTGTAACCAATTTGAAGATTCTGATGCAAAAAATGTGTCAAGTATTTATAAAATCAAATTTAAATACCAATTAATTTAAAATATGTACAACTTCTTCATCATTTTTTTTTAACCAAAATCAGAATCCCATTTTTTTGTTACAAAAATTTTTGATTGACCGGATTTTCCTTTCCAATTTTTCAGGAAACAAAATAAATTTCAATTCATTTTAGAAATATGAATGCCATAGGAATCCCTTTTTTTTCGTAACAAAATTTGAGCTGGATCAGATTTCCCTTTTCAATTTCTTAAGAAACAAAACAAATTTTAATTCATTTAAAAAATATTAGTGTCATAAGAATCCCATTTTTTTTGTAACAAGATGTGAGATACTTATTGTGCAAATAATTGTATAATTCTTAACAAATTCTTCCAAAATCGTATTTTTTTAAAAATTGATACAAATCTAGATACAACTAAACTATTGGATACACAAAACCGAAAATATTCATGCGTATCCATAATATTATTTTACAACTAAACTATTGGATACAAATCTTGATCTATTTTAAATATGTATAATTTAAATTATTTTCTATAATTATCAACAATACATAAAGATTACATTTAATATTTTTTCGTAATGACATGTATAACTATACCCAATAATTTAGGAAAACCAATTCAAATAAATTTCAAAATCGCGCATTTTAAAAATAGATATAAATCTTGATACAAATAAACTATTGGATAGACAAAACCAAAAATATTTATATGTATCCGTAACTTTTTTTTACAACTAAAATGTTGGATACAAATATTGATCTATTTAAATATGTATACTTTAAATTATTTTCTATAATTATTAACAATACATGAAGATTTCATTCAATCAATTGTGAGATTTTGCATTATCTCAACAAATCTCCATTAGAAAATCACGCCCTATTTTTACACATTATAAGTAGGACATATAAACTCATCAACGTATATCACGCGTCTTGCAAATTAGCATATAAACTCACCAACATACACGTTTTCAAGGTGACTTATGCATGGGTCGCATTAAAGATATTAGAAGGACGAACCGCATTTTGCTCAAACTGCGAATTGCACGTATGTTTCAAAGAGCAAACGAACCTCAATCATACAAGAATTTTCTTGAGATCATATTAGTATGTGTATTAAAATTGCGACCTTACATTCATATTATATTTGTAATTATTATTCTTACGTAGGTTCGTGATTTGTAGGATGGTCGTATTACTGGCATAATTTGTCCGCTCAACATTGCTAATTTTGTAAACGAATTTGAGGAAGGTGCGGTTTATGCTATACAAAATTATCAAGTTGAGAACAACATTGGCCTGCACAAGTCAACTATTGGCAAATACCGAATCATCCTTCATGGTCAAACTAAGCATTGTAAATATACTATTGATTTTCTCACATATCGCTTCGACTTTTAGGAGCTTTCTCGCTTTGTTTGACATCGAAAATGTTGATGAGTCTATCTTATTTGATAAATCAATTTGTTCAATTTGTGTAATGTATCGTGCTTATAATTATTTAAATTAGTTCAAATAATAATTTTTTTTTATTTCACTTTTTAGATGTAATTGAATTGGTTGTTAAGATTCAACCAATTCAAATAAAGCAAGGGACGGGAGGTCCAACTCAAATAATTGCGATCCCCCTCATGGATTTGGGGTAAGTGGTTTTTTATTTTATTTTATTTTANAAAACTCAATGAAAAAAAAAAAATACTAATTTGCATATAATTTGAAAATGTTCTTAAGGGGAAACATGAAACATGCAGTATGGAGGCAATATGTTGACCAACTGATTGCATTTGAAATCCATTATTATGAGGTAGGATCCTTATTTTTACTTAATGAAGTGTTCAATAATATATAAATTTTATTTTTATTATATTTATTAATTAGGTAGGATCATTATGAGGGTGATTGTTTATGCATTATACGGTAAAAAAACTAATTCAAACTCAAATTTAACACAACTTTAACTCAACTCCATTATTTTCAATATTATTAATATAATAAAATAATATCAACCAATCATTTTTACACATCACATCAACTTTAATTTACTATTCATCCACTCACATAATTTTAACTAACTATCACTTCCAATCATTTTCTCTTACTTTTACATCAAATCAACTTTAATTATTTTATTTTAAATACTATTTTAATATATTCACTAACAACTAACCATACCACTTTTTTTTCAAACTTAACTATAGTTAAAAAAAACTAGATTTTTACTAGTTGAATTCATATCCAATCACCCCTATACAGTTTGAATATAAAATTTTTTAAAAAGCAGGAAATAATAAAGCGTCCATCAGTAAAATAATAAAACATCCAAATTAACACATATATTGCCCATAAACTCTGTACGGATTAGTGAAGTTATATATATATATATATATATATATAATTGCTAGCTAAGCAATAAATTTTACCTAATAAATAAAACCTAATAAATTTTACCTATGTGGCAAATCATTAATAAAACCTAATAAATAGAACCTAATAAATTTTATTTATGTGGCATTAATACACCCAATCTCATTAATAAGAAAATATTTCATTACATTTTTTGGGTTAATTAAGACAAAAACTATTATATTTTATGTTAATTGATTAATAATTATATTTTTTATTGAATAATATAATAGTTAATATTAAAATTAGTAATTATATTTTATACTAAATAATATATGAAAGTTACATAAAATTATATTTTACACTAAAATCAATATTTTTTTATATGATGAAGATGTTGTTTATTAATAAATTAATTTTTTTTATGTCATAGTAAAATTTCTTAAAATCACATAAGCAATTGTTATAATAAATGTAATATTTTTCAGCTAATTAATTGGTCATGATCACTCAAAATTATAAAAAGTATATATTTATTGCATTTTATGCAATCAATATAGTGATTCGTATACAATCAAATCGTTTGTACTATTTATTTAACCAATGATCAAATTTTAAAATACAATACTATTATATAATTTTAATTTTAATATTATATACATAAATATAACTTATAATACTATATGTTTGAAATATAATACAATTATATAACTTATAATTTTTATATTATATACATAAATATAATTTATAATATTTAATTTTATTTATATATGTGCAAATGCACAAGATCGAATACTAGTTGCCCATAAACTCTGTACGGATTAGTGAAGTTATATCTTATATGTATTTTTGCGCCGCCGTTGAAATTATTACCTACTACCACCGCCCCCAATCGCAGCACCCATCACCACCACCAGATTACCATTCCTTCCTCACAGCAACAATTTCAACCTATCGAAAACAGGAAACACTCTCCCAAACCAGCTGCGCCGACTTCCCGTCAGCAACCGTCCGATAGACATGGCGGCATCATCATCGCCGTCCGTTGGGACCGCACCTAAATGGGCTCAGAAGACTGTTACCATACCCGGAAAGAGACGAGGCTGCCATGACGTCACCTCTCAGGTAAGATAACTGAACCGAGGTTCGTAGCTCCTGTTAATGAACTTTTGAATCACATATCCGTTGATTTTGGAATACAAGTTTGCTGTGTTGTTTGTTTGGGCGTGCGTTGTATTCGGGCATCAGGTGATGATTATCAATTTGAATCTTGCAGATTGTGTAGTGTTCTGCATATTTGTACCTTTTACCTAGATTTTTTTCTCACGTAGAAAATGTTTTTATCTGCTGGGCTTTTCCCCCAAATGTATAATTGTCGAAAAAGCTTCAGCTTTTGGTTTGGCAATTTAAATGGTCATTTAGTCGGTCACGCCCTGGAAAAAAGTTATGGCCCATGTCTCTTGACAGAAGTTGAGTGATTTTTGGAAGCTCGTAGGAATGCTGGCATGAACTAACTTACTATTAGATTGTTTTTACTTGCTATCTTCTTTGACAAACTTCGGAAGCTCGTGCCTCTCGGTCTTCTGGAGTTAAGTGAGCTGAGGGTCCGAAGGAGAATAGGAATCAAGTGACAACCAGTCGATACTGATTATGAACTTCTTCTATGAATAAAGATTTAGGAACCTATTCCACATTTGCCATCCTAATGTCCTATTCGCAGCTTCAGCTCTCGGATATTCAGCGGCTTAGAAAGAACCTGCTTTCCAGGCTCTTGTTTTTTGTCCTAAAAAGCTCTAAAACCGTTGCCCTATACTCGTTCTATTCCTAGTTGGAGCCACTGTATAGTCACAACCCTGATTTTCATTCTATTTAGGATGCTTCTTCCCTGGTTGGCTCCTAGTTTGGGAAAATGAAGTGATTTTTTTCGGAGGTCTTTTGATGGGGGGATTTTAAGCCCGTAATATTGATTCTAAATTATTTTAAATGAACTTTTTTTGGGTTCAGGAGTAACCTTAGTGAAAGTATATGCTCGGACGTGCCCTTTCTTGAACATTTAACAAATCCATATCTGTTACTGATTCAGAGACATACTAAATAATCCTAATACCATAAGTTCGAGCTTTGGGGTAAACCTTGAAAAATATTCAAGTGTATATCCCGGAAACAAAGAGGAACATTTTACTTTTTTGTGTAGTTGGTTGACGACAAAATTACAGCTTATGTTCTTCTTTGCTAGTAATAACCTCATTTTGCTGCTTAGCATAATAATGACCTATGGAATTATTTCAGATTCTGAAGGAGATTGCGACAGACCTGTCAGGCTTTAAGTGTGGCCTTGCCCACTTCTTCTGTAAGTTTCCTTGACCTATGTCAAGCATCTTCCCGCCTCCTCGTCTTCTGTTTTCTGAATGGGAGTTCATTTCTGTTCAACAGTGCAGCATACAAGTGCTTCCCTGACTATAAATGAAAACTATGATCCTGATGTCCGACATGACACAGAGACATTTTTAAACCGAATAGTTCCGGAGGTACGTTTTCTTTTCTTCGTTTTATTTACATGGCAGGTTTTACTGTTGGCAGATTATGTCATTTCTTTGATTAATGGTTTCAGGGAAGTTCTGCACCATGGAGACATACTCTGGAAGGTAACTTGTTGATTCATCTCGTCCTGATTTGATTATGAGATATGGAAGGGGACTTTTTATAGAGAGAGAACACATTGATTTCTTAATAGTCGATTACTAATTTATGATGGTAAATGACTTATGGCTACTTTGGAGTGCCATCTTTGTTGAAATTCTGCGTTCTTCAACGGTTGTATTATGAAGATAAGCAATTGAACCTTATAAGAAATATCGTGCACATTATGGTAAGCTGAACAAAGTACTCATTTGACAGAGAGTATATTTGGTGATATATGTATAGGACTATTTGCAACATAATTATCTGCCCTCACGCGGATATAATGAATGTTAGATGTACTTGTTTCCTCGTCCTGAATCACCAAAAATTCATTTATTCCCCCAGAAAGAAAG